GCTCGGGCGCTGCTTGTATCGCCAGCGGGCCGCCCGACGTTGGGCGGGTTTGGGGGTACTCGGTGCCACAGGGAGCACGCGCAGGGGGCTCTGGCACTTCCCCGGGGAAAAGGAACCATTTAATATCATCCTGACTGAAATTAAAGACGTCAGGGACTTCAGAAGAAGCAGATGCTTTTAGGATCGAGCATCGCAGCCCAGGGCTCTAGCGGGGAGGATGAATTCCTCCTTTAACCAGTAACTTATTTACAGAATATCCTAGCGAAACCGTTTCTTCCCGTTTCCAGGCAGCTTGTCATTCTGCAGATGGGGAAAGGTCTTTTTTCCTTCTCATCTCTGCCGCTTTATTAATGGCCAAATTCATCCTCACGAGCAATTCAGCAGGGATCCCAGAGGGAACACGTGCTACCCCAGCTCTGGACAAGTCAAAACCGCTGCCTGGCTTCAATGACTTGCCCGGCTAACAGGGAGATGCAGCGTTTTCCCTGCTACCTGTTTCTGATCTCTTTCCAAAGACCTTTTCCCTAGTTAGTCGCCAACAGCTGGTGCAAAGCTCCGCCCAGAGGGAGGAGAAAAGACATAACTGATTTTCAAGAATAACTTGCGACAGTAAAACAAAACGGGATTGGTGCTAATGTCAAGCCAGGGCTGGTCCAAAGGTGAGAGCCGCTGGAGTAACCCCCTGAAACGCTTTGCAGAATCAGGTTTGCCCGTCACTTCCCCCGCGGAGGCTCCGCGCCACGCGCCCGCCCTGGCGCTTGGGTCCCTTTCTGCCTCCCGTCTGGGAGAGGTGCCGAACCTGGAGCTGTGAAGGGCTCGACACGTCCGCAGGGCAGGGGCACCAGGCTGGCGTGCAGGACAAGCAAGCGTCAGGAGGTCTGGGAATGCCCTTTGCGACGAGGGGAACTGAGACCCTCTTTCAAGAGCAGCCCGAGATTGGGAACCAGTATTTGGAAGATGCTTTGCTTCAGAGTTACTTGAAAACACACCTTCCTCCCAAGGTCTGGCATGCATGTTTGTGTTTGTGTGCGTGTACACAGTGCAGGCCTGGCTAGCGAAGCTGCACTGGGGTCACTTGTTAAGACTATGAATTGATCCTTTCTCTGAACTCCTTTATTCTTTCAGTGTTGAGCTGGGGGGAAATTATCAGCATTCTTTAAAATGTGATTTATTTGAATCTGTGCTCAGGCAAAAAGTCCTGCCAGGGCTTAAACAGAAATAGAAAGGGCTTAGTTGACTCCTGGGACGGGTTTGGGTGTTGCAACAAGTGTGTTGTTTGGGGATTGTCAGTGCCTGTGTTCCTGTGCTATCTGGTCACCCAGAGCAAGAAATTCCAGAGAAAGGACTTTACAACAGGGATGCTTCCAAGCTCTGCTTGGAAGTCTTCCACTTCCCTCCCCCTGAGACGTGGGGCTCTCAAGGAAGTCCCTTCCAGAAAGAATGGGGCATTTTCAGCTTAACGCTCAAGAGCAGTTGGGGGTTTGTTTGTTCTCGACATCAGTCATTGGCTTTTCTGGGACAATTTTCAGCCAGCGAGGGCTCTGTACAGGACTGCAGGGGGGCAGGACCCTGAGCTCCAGGTCTCTGTTCTGTGAGGTTTAGTCGGGGGCTCGTTTTGCCTGCTGTTCTCTGCTGTATAGCGTAGATGAAGTCACCCCAAGGACTGCAACGATTTTTCGCTTTTCAAGGACCAGATCTCCCGGAGCTGTTTCACCTCCCTCTGTGATTTATTCCAGCAGACGCAATAGCGACCTGTAAAGCCACCGTGTGAGTAAAGACGGTAGAACATGGCTCAGAGTGATGCTCTTCTTGCCACTGCTCGGCCTCTGAGTGCATGAGGCCTTGCAGTCTTGAGGCGATAATAGTGTGACTGCAGCTCTGGGAGCTTGCTTTTTTCACAGCCATCACTAAAGACAGGAATGAGGCCTCCCTAAGCATCACTGTGGCTTTCTTGCCAGAAGAGAAGATGGGAGAAAGGAGGATATGCTTGGGCAGCCAGGAAGAGCTTCCTCCTCATCCGCGCCTTTGGACAAAGTGTGATTCAAATCCCTTGAAAAATGAAAGGATCAGTGACATCTATCATCAAGTCTGAGAGATGCTATCCACTCCTTCCCCATAGAGGCAAACTGACTGCAAAATCTACCAGAAAATCAGCAAAATCTTCCTTGCATTTCTATGTTTGGTCCCAGCAGGGCAGTGTTGCCTTGTCACTGAAAGGCAGAGCCCAGGCTCTGCTTTCTGCCTCATGCAGCACAGGCTTGTCTGCAGTCTGAGAGGTCCATGCGAATGCCCTCCTGTCCAGGAGAGCAACAACAGGTGAAGCTTTGTGTGTCCCCCTGAAGCAGACACCTCACTGGAGGTTGATTCCTATCAGACCATTTACCTAAGTCCAGTGGTGAACAAAAATATTTCTCTGGAATGGAGCAAAAGATCTATTTTTTTAAGGTGTTCTCTGGATTACATAGAAGAAAGCGTCTGCTCTTTCTGGGCACAGTTGTGAAGGGACAGCTATTGGTCTTTGATCCCTCGATAAATATGTTCTTTAATATAAAGGATCGTCTGTTTACACTCTTGATATATTTCCAATATACTCATCCCTGGGACATCAAAAGCACTGATTAGGGTGAACAAGACCGCCCAGAAAACGCTGCTAGTTAACGGCTTGTGCCCTGAACCTAATGGTTTGCGGATGACCCCGCAGTATCCCATTGTACACTGTCTGGAGCGCCTAGGCTGCTGTGTGTTTCACTCAGCGGTCCCAAATGCAGGAGCTCTGATTTTGTCCTCTGACCTTGGAAATAAACACATTAACCTGAGCAACACGCTGCATTAAAAGGCTAAGTGCAGTCAGGGCAGGAGCTCACAGATAGGCAGAATGTCTTTTTAGAAACTATGCGTATGGGAATGAAGGGACTACTGCAGCTTGAATTCACGGTAGTGGGCTGATGGCTTCCTTCCACTGTCTGGTTAGGAGCCTGGTACGAGTTGGAGACCTCTTTGGTAAACTCATGTTCTTCCACCCACCAAAAACTACCAGCTAAACAGTTCAAAGGTTCTTGTGCTTCAGGGATTAGTGAAATCCATGTACCTTGGACTCTTAGATTGTATCTCTAAAACAGCCTTTAAATTTTAGTCGAGATATGATAAACATTGGAGGCATACCCCTCCCAACTGAATTGCAACTAGAGCAAACAAGAGGAGTGCAGTATAAGCTATACCAGTTTGACAGGGAGCTCATGCCTGTTTTCGGTTGTGTTGTGTTTTCTATAGCTAAGTATTTCACTCTTCACCTGACAGGAAACTGGTTGGTTGGAGGTTTTAGACTTCCAAAGTACTAACTGGATGATATGTGTTGGATCCTCATTACACACAGAGTGATGAAGGAATCAATCACGGATGTAATTTAATGAAAAGTCAATACGGGGGGAAGCAGAGAAAGGAAAAAGCAGTGTTTGTATTTCATCGACAGCAAACTAATGTTTTATATTTGCGCTACTTGGGTATAGCAACTAGGACTTTCACCTCCACAACTGTCATACTTAGGAGGAAATGATCTTTTCTTGTGGAGATAGGGAACAGCAAAAAGTATTCCTCTGACAAAAGCTAATCTAGATCAGAGACTTCTTTGACCCCCATTACAGTCATGAATGTATTTACAAAACCCAGCAGTGCTAGAGGCTGGATTCATCTGATCTGATATTAATCCTCAGTGAGTCAGATTATTTATGTCTAGGCAAGCTCTCTAGACTCTGGCCACAGTCAGTGAAGAGGAGCAGGTCCCTGTAGAGGGCAGTTCCTCTCACCTGAAAGTAGGGATCTAAGTTGGAATGAATCACTCCCTGCAGGTGCCCCTTTCTCTTCATTAGCTATGGACAGACTGCTCTGTCGCAGTCAGCCAGCCCCAGCTAAAACAAAGGCAAATGAATCCTTATCCAAAGACATTCAGGAAGCCGTTTGCAGAGTGGAAACTTGAATCTGGACACCCTGGGAGCCAGGCTGAAGCTCAAATGGTTGAGCCATCCCTCCTTTTCTAATCTGATAAGCATGTAACTACTGGAAGTTTTCCTATGCGGACCAGGGCTTTCCATTTTGGGCAGCTTTTCCCCCCAGAATTTGTATCCAGCAGTAAATCACAGAATCGCTGAGGCTAGAAGAGGCCTCTGGAGACCATCTAGTCAACCTCCCTGTTCATGAGTGTCTGTGGGACTCTCAGCCCTTGCACAAAAGCTATTCTGTCTTTTGTAAAATCCAGAGATGCTGCCTTTTCAGAAAAGGGATTCTGAAAAAAAAAAAGTGACAGCTGAGCACAGCTGTCATTAGCACCCCAGTACAATTGTCTTTTGCCTTTCAAATAGGACTGCAGGCTCCTTGCCTTCCAGGGATGTGCTGAAGGGCCCTTGTTGTTGCTTCATAGGTACTGGAGGAAGTAAGTCAGGACCTGGAAAAATTTGGAAACCGTCTGCAAACAGAGATCAAACCTCTAGCACGGGAATGCGAGTTGAATCCTCCTATATTTCGGCAGTATGATGCCTGGGGGCAACGGCTGGATCACATTATCACCTGCCCGGCCTGGAGGAGGATGAAAGAAATTGCAGCAGAAGAGGGGCTAATTGCTGAGGCTTATGAGAGAAGATACTCCAACTGGAGGTAAGGGGGTGGGGGGAAATGGGAGTGACTTGGTACCTTGCTGAATATCCCTCGCTGATTATTCTTAGCAGGGTATGTTCCGCATCTGGTAGGGTTGTTGTATAATGGGTAACAGATGATGCATGGATAAAGGCACACCTACTTCTGTATTGAACAGCAGTGTCTCTGTCCACTGTAATGTTCCACATCAGCAATGATTAGCCGTACCTAATGGCCTACAGTTGATCATCATATTCTTCGATGTCACTTTCCTGATTCTGGGGCCTGGCACTTCCCTGCACTGTTCCAGCTTTACATGCATGCCTGATTCTGGGGCCTGGCACTTCCCTGCACTGTTCCAGCTTTACATGCATGCATCATAACACAGCCACAGGTCTATGCTTTTACTTGCGATTTCATTGTATTCCAGCCTTCAGAGACAGCCCCAGATTTACCGTTCTTATGAACTGCATTTAACTGCTTGCACCAGCTGGCAAGCAGTGCCTTTCATCCAGTCCCTGCACTGGCAGTCCCTCTGGGACTGAGAAGCTCTTCTGTTCCACTTTCTCCTGGTTCGAAGTTTCAGCCCTCTCAGAAATGAGTGGCCTGACTCTTACCTGTGCTGGCTGTATCCTTCTTCTGTCTCCCTAGTCAGGATATTTTATCTTTCCGCTGTTGAACTGCCACAAAACCTCTCTGTTTTCAATCGTTTTTTTTTTCCTTAGCCGTGTGCATCAGGCTATCAAACTGTACTTATTTTCAAACTCTTCTGGAGGTTTCAGCTGTCCTCTGGCCATGACGGATGGAGCAGCCAAAGTCATTGAGGTACGAGCTCCACTGGTCTCTCAGAGCACAGCTCAGGCCCTGGTAGCACTGGTTAGAGGCCAGGACACTGGCCAAGCCTCCAGGAGAGCTGATTTGCCATCTGGGTCGCTTCCTTATTCTGTGACTCAGCTTCATTGCCCACCCCCTGTGTTTCTCCTTTAGTTACAAAGTCTTTGTGCCCAGGCTAGCTTTTAGATTTACTTGCAGCACTGAATACAACAATATCGTCTATTCTGAGCCTTGCAAGGATGCTTGTAGGATACGCCATTGTAAGTTAAGGGAACTGTGTAATTTGGTCTGTAAAAGATACATCTGCTGCATTAGGATCTTTCTTCTTGGTTTCTTTTCCCTACCTCAAAACAGTCACTGGGTATTCCTGGATCTCTGAAAAATGCTTTTGACCATCTGACATCCCGTGACCCCAAGAAGTTCTGGACCTCTGGCCAGTGGATGACGGAGCGCAGAGGAGGCTCTGATGTTGGTTAGTGTTCTGAGGGGGGGAAATGACTGCAGTGGCAGCTGGCTGCCTTAGCAATAACTGAGAAAATGAAAGGTGTGGGGAGCTTTCAAAGCCGGGTAGCTGATTTCGGATACCTCAGCAGAAGTCATGTAAATCTGCTCTGCCTTTTACCAACAACATACTCAACATAGTCATTCTGTCCACCGATGCATGCAATATACATGCATACGCAGATACAGAGCTGTGGTCCTTGCACAGATAACCCAGAGATGTCTAGCTCTAGATCTAATCCTTGAGCAAGACAGTCAGGCCCATCCCAGGTGGGACTGAGGACACATTCTTGGCCTTCAACTTTTGTTCCTTGGCAAGTGATAGTAATAACAGAATAGGCCAGGAAATCTCAGAACTCCGTTGCAGAGACAGAAGCGTGGAACGAGAGTCGCCTACATCTAGTGAAACAGCCGTTGGTTTCCTGGTGGGAGAAGTGAAAGGGCCAGCTATGGAATAAAAGCTAGAGGGGTGAGCATCATTGCAGGACTTGATTCCATAGGACCTTTTGTTGTTCTTGGCCATGGTAGTCCTAAAAAAACGGAAGCGCTGGATTATAAATCACGGCGCACTTGCCTACAAAGTGCTGCTGTTATCAGCTGTTAGCCTGGAACAATTGCTGGAAAGGCTCACATTCAACAGAGCGCATTTTCTGTCTAGTACTTAACCCTGGCTGCATCTTTTATCCAGGGTCAGTGAAAGAGATTAACAGCTAATCCATATTTCGTCTTGATAGCAAGAGGCGATTTAAAAGAGCTTCTGCTAAAGCTGAAAATCAGCACTGATTGATACAAAAGTTCCCATAAAGCCAAGATCTCCTGCTCTTTTCTTGCAGCTAATGGCACAGAGACAGTGGCCAGAAAGCAGCCAGATGGTGCATATCATCTCTATGGCTTTAAATGGTTTACATCAGCTGCTGATTCTGATGTGACATTGACCCTGGCGAGGATAGCAGATGCTCAAGGACATGTAAAACAGGTCTGTTTCACAGTGGAAGGCTGTGAAGAGGTAGGGGCATGCTTTTGCTTCTTTTTTTCATCATAACAAAATCTTCTTTGCATGCTTTTTTAATGGCTCCAGGGTTCTGGAGGCTTGTCCCTGTTCTTCCTGAAGGTTCGAGATGAGGAGGGGAAGCTGAACAACATCAAAGTGCAAAGGCTGAAGAACAAGTTGGGTACACGCCAGATGGCAACAGCAGAGCTATGGCTAGAAGGAGCTAAAGCAGAGCTAGTACGTAAGATTTCGCCTCATCGGGGTTTTGGCAATGATACCAACTGAGGAAGTTCCTCTCTTCTGTGACTGGTTGTTCATTCCACAGAACCCTGCCCCAACAGAGCTGTGTGTAGGACAGAGCTGTGAAGAGCTCAGGCCACTGATCTGAGTTTAAAGTAATCCCAGGGGAGGGAAAAACAAAAAAAAGAAAAAGTCATTTTAGGCTGGTTATTTCCCTAATCCGGTTAGGCCCAGCTGAGGGACAGTTCTGTGTAGCGTGCAGGTGGGAAAGGCAGCCCAGGACCAGAAGTGATCATGCTAATATTGTCTCCAAAGCCACCTCTCTGGTCATGCCACAGACTTGGATAAAATGAGACAGCCATATTTTAAAGCAAGCACGTCTTTGTGGTGCCTGAGGACAGACAGAGACAGAGTGGGCAGCCTGTATCTATCTGCCTGTTGACACATCTCTCACCAAGATAGATGTGCTGCAGCTTCCGAGGCCATGCAAAAGGAGGTTTAGATCAGCCTTTGTTCCTTGATGCTTTCAGATCTCTGCAGAGGGTCGTGGAGTGGCCTCCATCTCCAACATGCTGAACATAACTCGGATCCACAATGTCATTGGTGCAGTAGCTTCCATGAGAAGGTGAAGGCAGCTTGGCTCCCCTGGGCCTGAAGGAGTAGTGTCTCGGGACAAGGGGAGTGTCTCTGCTTTGCGAGACTTAGCATCGCAGCTGATTGATGTATTATGCTTTGCGGGCACAGGTCTGGGATCAAGCAGTGCTGGAGTGAGTTGGCCTGTGGGTGACCTAGGCTGGCATGCTACAGCTGAGTAGAGTTCTTCCAATGGGAATGGCTGAAAGGGGAGATTGCTGGTCTAACTCCTTTCCCTGGCTATATTCTCTCTAGGATGATCAGTCTGAGCAGGGAGTATGCCCTTAGGCGGGTTGTCTTTGGGAAGCTCCTCAAGGACCATCCCCTCCACATGCAGACCATAGCCCGGATGGAGGTAAGGCTTCTTGGAGCTGAGCTGGATCTGTTGATGAGGAAAGAGCGCAGATTCTTAGCTGCTAATGAGCACAGCCAACCTGCCTCTGCGTGCCACAGTCGGATGTGGCTGTCTCCTGCTACAGTGAGATGTATGCAACAGGGGACTGACATATTCTAGTGGGATTTGATCTGACAATTGACCCAGCTTCTCTGCTGGACTTCAGATTATCCTAAATAACAATTACCTGGGAACTATTCTGAGAGGTTTGCCAAAGTTCATGCATGCGTCTACTATGCCACAACCTCTGAAGTTGGTCAGTAGCATCTGAATCCAAACATGACAGCACAGTCTCCTAAGTTGGAGTTAACAGACTGTTAGTACTAAGACCAAGGCAGACGCATCCAACTTGCCTGGTAGCCCACGCACCTGCAGGTGGGCTATTCCCACTATTTGCAACGGGCTTGAAGAATTCCTGAGGAGTCAAAGCACACAACCTAACTAACTTTTGCGAGCAGTTCATGTTCACTATGTGCCTGCACAGTGCTCAGTGCCACAAGATACTGAGCCTGAGTACAGCCTCTAGGTGTGAACGTAAGACCACGAAAGAGAGGGAGGTATGAATTGGCACTCTGGCGCTGAGTGGAATTTCCTATCTGGGCCTTAGCTCACTGCAGAACATCTCACTGCTTTGCATCAATGCTGAGCTATAGCAGACCACTACTTCCACAGGACACAGGTGGCTTCCACCCCTACCAGATCTTCAAAGAGAAGGCACACGGTTCTGTTCCTCTCTTTGCTACTTCTTGGTTTAAGCCGTGTAATGCCAACACTTGTCCTTGGGCTGCAATAGGTCTGTGCAAATATTTAAACTAGCATTTAAAAATCCTTGTGCAGGATTAGGGGGCATTGGAGGGAAGTGGTGTCACCCAAAAATCTCAGTATCCCAAAAGTTCCGAAAGCCCAACTTGCCAGGGAAGCAGGTTGCTCGGCAAGGAATCTGCAAAAGACCTTGCAGATCCTGGCGGTCAGCGGCTGACCTTCAGACATGCATGGTCTCATGTTCTTTATCCTTGGAAAGGATGTGGATTTGTGACCTGGATGCCTGGTGGAAGCTTTGATGTGGCTCCTAATAGGCCTAATTGAAATGATATTGTCCCTTTCCCGACACTGGACTGCAGTGACCATGAGAGGCAGCTCCAGACTGGCTTCAGTATTTCACGCTTGGTGCCTTGGCTGCTGGGCAAGCTTTGTCTCTGAACTTGTGGGTCTGTACAGGAGTAGCTCTTTGCCCAGGTCTGAGTATTGTGCATCCCTTCCAGATAGTGTCATGGCACATCAGCAGACCAAGCTGGAATCAGTTCGAGTCAAAGGTCCTTGCCAGTGAAGGATCCCACTTCTCTACCTGCAGGTGCAGACCCGAGGGGCATTTCTTCTGCTTATGGAGATAGTTAGACTGCTTGGACTTGTAGAAACCAACATGGCAAATGAGCAAGATCAGCTTCTCTTGAGATTGCTAGTACTGGTTGCCAAACTTTACACTGGGAAGCAGGTAAGGAACAACCAGCTTGATCAGCCTGGAGTGGGTTTATGTGGCACATTACCAACCTCAGAGCTGGAAAGAGGTGTGATTAACACAGACAACATGAGGGGTAGCAAGTAAAAGGCAAAAACTCTCCTGGAATATAGAATAGACATGTGCACCCCAGGCTTTTCCTTACCTAGAGAGGACTGTACTGACAGACAGTCTCCTTGGATCTTCTCTTAAGATCCAGCTGCTCATGCAGATCCTCTCCTAGTGTTGCTCAGTCCTCGTTCCCCTCATTTAATGAGCAACCTGCCTCAGCAAATCAGTGGGATCCAGTTGGTCCCATCCCAGCGGGAACTGTCATGTGATATTAGATGTTTGTGGCTGCTTTCTCCCCTCGTGCAATACGGATCATACTAGCTCTCTGCGTTTTGCAGGCTTCTGCTGTTGTTGTTGAGGCAATGGAGTGTTTTGGAGGACAGGGTTACGTGGAGGATACAGGCCTGCCAGTCATAGTCCGTGATACTCTGGTAAGAAAGCAGCAGGAGAAACAGAGAAAGCTCCTTACTCAGAAGCCCTTGGGTGTCACAGAATTCCCTCCAGAGTCCTCTAGAGCTGCTTGCTACATGCTCAAAGAAAGACACAGTCCTCCCTGGACCCACTCCAGCTGTGGCAGCTCCTTCCCAATTGCCCTCCTGCTCAGCCCAATCATCACCCCATTCAAAGTGGGTTACAGCAGCTCTGGAGAGCAGAGGACATGACTTTTCCCTGTCATGAGGGATTGTTTCTTAGCTCAGTAATGTAGCTGGCCCCCTAACACCAATCACTAAGGCTCCTTTCTGTTTGTGGTGAGGCAAGAAATCTCTAGAGATTTCCCTGATATCCCTTAACTCTGCCCCACCCACCTCTTTGTTCCCTCTGTTTCCCCTGTTACTGCAGTCACTCCAAGAGGCTCCTTCACGCTCTTTCCACAGTCTCTTCTACCCCACAGGTGCTGTCCATATGGGAGGGAACAACAAATATTCTATCGCTTGATGTACTGCGATCCCTCACCAAGAGTCAAGGAGAGGTGATGGCTGTGTTCTCCTCCACAGTGCAGGTGAGCCCACATCAATAGCACCAGTCAGCCCGCTTTGTCTGTCTTGAGAGAATGTCATTTGGGATTAATGCTCCCAGCTGAGACCAGTAGAGAACATGATCAAATTCAAAGTTTTAGACAAGCGTGCAGAAGGTGTCTCACAATTCTGCTCTTTAAGGAGAACTTACAAAAGCAGAATGTAGGCAGTATTGGTCTTAGGATCCTTGCGTGCCGCAAAAAATGTGGATACTTTCATCTCAACGGTGAAGAGTTTTGCATTGTCAGAGTTCCGCATGACAGGTACCAATATAAGTATATTTTTAATGTGAAAGGAGTCACCCTCCTGAATCCAGAACAATTAGTGGGTTTGTTTCTTAACTGGAAAAATATCATCTTTCCATGAATCTTGTCAAGGCCATTAAAAATTGTTCCCCCCGACCCCAAGCACGACTGCTGAATATTACAAGTGTTCGCTAGAGCTACCCACTGCACGATGACTTGCTGTATCTGGCTTTACCTACAGGCTGCTCTTTTAAAGGTGCTCAGATGACAATCACAAAGAGTTAATATTCAAAGGAGCTCAGAATTTCATGAAGGTAGATAGGCATCAACTGTCTTGTTACATCCCTTAATGGGACACCGGAACCAGTCTGAAAGGCATGAGCAGCATCTCAGAGGGTAGTCTCTAACACCTCCTTTGGGGGTTAGTTAATCCAGATACAGCAATTCAGATTACATTGGTGCAGATACAGTGAGGAAATTCTGGGCATCTGGAGTGCTCAGTTTGCCTCTGCTCAGCCTTCATTTTTTTCATCCAGACCCTGTGAGAAGCAAAAAGGTCTGAGTCACCTCACTCCCTTCAGCACTGACAACTTGCTGCTTGAAGATGATGGCATAGGCAGAGACAGAGTAAAGACAATATCTTCACAGTAGGAGAGATGGCTGTTTCAGCACAATGGTGTTTGAGCTGTTGCAAGCCAGACTTCCCAGGGAAAGAAAGGAGACTTTGCTAAGAGACAGTGTAGGAGCAGGCACATTGCAAAGCATGCTAGTCATACACAGCACAACAAAATACAAAATTCTTACGGTGGACTCTGGTACATCCAGTAGAGAATCTTATCCATCCATCACGTCTTTCAAGAATACACTAGGAAGAACCTGACTCCTCACGAGTGGTTACAATTAACAACTTCTATTGTGTTTCAAATCCACAACTGAACTTTATTCTGTACTGACCCTCTCTCTTACCTTCAGGGACAACTGTCTTCTAACCATCCTCTCATACAACTTTTGTTAAAGGAAAAATACCTCACACAATTTGTCTAACCGACAAAAAAGCCAAATCTACTCATAAGCTAATGAGCATACCTGCTAATTAAAAAGCCAACTGGTCCAGCTGTTGATAAAAAAAGTAGTTTACTCTGACACTGAAGGTAATGGAGTGGAGCAGGAAAGGAGGGAATGGTGGGCTCTAAAAATAACTTGGAAAGGAGCTGGCGTCCACAGGCTTCCTCACTTACGCTAATTTAAACTAAGTAAATACCCCACAAAGGTGCTGTGCCTCAGTCCTAAGAGCACCTTATTGGTGTAGCTGAGAGGGCCCCTTCAGATTCTTAACTACTGGATAATTGGAGAAACGCTAAAGAATTCAGCAACACGATTCAGAGCAAATAATTCAGCAGCTGTTACGCCGAGTATAGACTTATTAATTAGTAAGCTCATAATGACTCTTGCTCTCCCATAAATCAAGCTTTACATGAGGCTGCATGGTGAAGAAGCAAGTATTGATTTTAAAATCCTCCAAATTCCAGCAAGTGTTGTTGCCTTTTCTGTTAACATCGTGCTTAGACTGCCTCATTTCCACGGATTTTGGCAACGGAGCGATCAGAATTAGCTGAGCTGGGAGGGCTGTGCTGGTACACGTGGTTCTGGATGTAACAGATCGTACTTGGCAAGTTTAATTTGGGCATACCAGAAGCCTTTTTCCCTTATGCCTTCAGCAGCCAGGCACTGGAAAGGCAGACTGGGAGGTATTTCTGCTTATGAAACCAGGGCACACAGCCGCGTATCCTGGGCGCTACTGAGCCGACACCACCTTTCTCAGGGTTCGACACTGGTGAGAACTGGGAGTGCCTCTGCAGCACTGGGCAGGAACATGCTGAGTTTCTACACCAGAATCACGGTTTCACTTACAGGTGACAGATACACAGTCCCTTTCTGAGCTCCAGTTCTCCAAATTCTCTTGGCTCCTGGGAGTATGGCTCTTTTTGAAACATCTTTACTATACTTTACTACCTAGTGAGGAAATCAGTTAGTCTTTCGTAAAGGGATTTTTACTATTACAATCCCTTTTCTTTTTATGAAAGCTTCTCCAAAAAAATAGTACAGTTCTTTTTATCAAATTTCCATCAAAGATCTCAGTTTGTAGGTCTTGTAGCCAATGAGAGAGGTTTCTTTGGAGAAAGAAGCATTAGACTTGCACCTTGTTCTCTGAAGATCTTATCTTAGGGTAATTTCCTCCCCCTACCCCGCTGCTACCAGTTTCTGCTTTTATCTGGTGTCATTCGGCTCTGCTGACTGTGGGATAACAGAGGGCTGATGGTGCTGCATCCCCCTGGTTTTGTGATCTAGGAGCAGTAATCCAGTGACATAGTTATCTTCGGAAAAAGGAAAATACAGAGAACTTCTTTGTCCTTTGCACAGTGTGGTTATGAGAGGCTGAATTTTTATGGTTCTTGATACATAGGCAGGTTTGTTGCAAGGGAGATAAACCATCCTGTCCAGAGGTAATCAATCTGCACAGACTCACAAGAACTCATGGCAAGAACAGGAAGGGCGAGAGGCAGTCCTGAATTCCCATCAACCATGTGGGAGTTTCAGATGGGTGCTACATCGGGGCAGTAATTTCATGCTATGCTAAAATTTTATTTAGCTGGAATTTTGAGCCAGAGCAATGAGTGTGCTTTAAAATTCAATTACAATCTAAAAAGTGACTCTAAAATGGCACCTGGGAATTCTCCATTTATTGCATGTTAGTGATTTCAGATTAAATTTGGTCACATCACAAATACCGTTGTCTTTCTGAACGCCAGTCCTGCAAACATCTTCCAGAGCTCAGAATCAAACTATCTTATGCCTCAGCAATGGCTGTGTAAGGCTGAAACCCTATCTGTAAATTGGCTATAAAATCTAAGTCACTTGATACTGTTTTTAGGTCATTTTCAGACTATAACCATAGTTTTAACATAGCAGGAAACAAATCTAGGTTGTTAGAGTGAGACTACCTATCTGATTGAAATATTAATGTGAGGCTTGTGGTTCAACTTCTGCTTTGGATGTTCTCTCTGTTGCTGCATTTTTATATAATCATGATTATTGTTTGTTGTAAGTAAAATCTATTCTGTCTTGCTTGCTAGTTAACTTGTGAGAGCAAACAAATGAGTGACAGCTTAAATATTCCTATGATAACCTGAAGGAATAAGAAATGCTGAAGCTCTGAAGCTCTTTCGCTCTCTGACAACAGTCAGGAAGGAACCGTTACAACAGGCACGTTGATGCTGTATGCGTTTGCCTCCCCTCAGGAGGCAGGAACTGGAGTAGATCAACATGCAGGAGAGAAAAACAGCAGTTGCTTCTGCCTTGAACATCATCCCTGAAGCAGCTGTCTAGCCTCACATTTTCAAATGTTTCCCCTCTCTCTCTTTGCAGTGGAGGATGTGGAAAAAAACCAGCTTGATCTTTCAGAAGATTGAGTGCTTTCGGTTAGAGAAAGAATGAGTGTTAACGTTAAAAAAAAGTGTAAATTACTGGAAAGAGAATATAGTCATTTTTATGCTTTATATCCTTGATCTACGCTGGCGAGGTCTTTAAACCGGGAAAAAACAAAGCAGTGTAAGATGTCGCAGTTCGTACCCCAACCGTTAGCTCCAGGGCGCTGAGAGAAGCACATACGTAGTCCCTATGCTTTGCAAGGCCTGTCTGATGCTGGCTCCCACCCAGCCTGCTGGGAATCTGTTTATGCCTTTGGGGTCTTTGATCTTTGTTGGCAACAAGCTCTGAGCTACTTTTAAAACATCTTATTAGCATTCTGTGGGTTTGGAGAGTTCTTTGGACTTTATCTTGGCACTAGACCTAACCGCTTTAATGACGATGTTTTTGTATTCGTACAGCATATGCTGTGGGTATTTATTTACTGCCTTGCCTAGAGCACAGAATAGCATCCATTGAGGATTGTGTTTTTCTTGTATTAATAGTCAGAAAATACAGGGCAATGGTTAGGAAGGAGGTATCATGCATAGAAGTATTACAGAAAACAAAACTGAGTTCAGCTTTTACGGTCTGACTCCTACTGTGCAAATAAGCTGTATTTTCATGTACTAGCAAGAGGAATTGCATGATCACCTAAGTATTGAAAGCCTAAAAAAATCAAAAATTAGATCTGTGCAGCATATACTTATAGGCTTTAGCTTCATAAATAACCTGCAAATGAGACTAATTAACAAAAAGCACTTGCTACCATGCGCTACTTAAATACGTAACAGTTCAGTTTTTCAATTTCTGTCCAAGGTAATCCTTTAGTCTTACTTTGTACTGCAGAGAGACAGATTTGAATATTGTCAAGATGTCAGCGCAGTGCATTAAGCTCCTGGGCTGAGACCGTGGATGAAGCCAGGGCCAATTCTGCATGCCGGCAACGTTGGCACATGCTGGGGCAGCTGAGCGCTGAGGTGGCCAGACAGTCGTGGCCTACTTTGCTGCACCAGAGCCCTGGAAAGGCTGGTTGCCTGCGACTGCTGCAGCGGGAGGGCTCGGGGTCTCGAGGCTGGTGACTACTGCTCCGGTGAGAGCTGGCTATTTTGCAGCAGCAGCAGTGGTCGAAGCCCCTCTCTCTTCTCTCTCCTGCTCTAAAAGGCTAACCTCTGCCGGGTGCACCCAGCCGTGCTAGATCATTAAAGGGCAACTATTCTGAGTCTCTTGGCAGACGGTCACTTGTGCTTTCACAAGACATTTGAGACACTAGATAAACAGCAGCGTTGCTCAACCCTGTGTGTGTGTGTGTGTGTGTGTGTGTGTGTGTGTGTGTGTGCGCGCGCGCATGCATGTGCGCATGCGCAGACAAGGTCTTACTGGTCTGATCAAATGAAAAGAGCCAGTCTGGTCAAATGGGGCCTTCCCCACAGACACAACTTGCAGAGTAAAGCTCCTTTAAGCCAGAATTGTCCTCTCTGAACACAGCTCTAAGAACTTGGTGGAAGTGAAAATATAAAAGTAGGGGAGGTCACATGTAATTAAAGCCTGACCTGGCTATTCAATTAGAGGGTATTGCAGCTATGATCCGGTCCCCGAGCGCAGCTGGAAAGCCAGCACGGTAACAGCCACACGCTGGGTCTGGCTTACAGGAATGTGCCATTCTTAAGGCACGGTTGTGAGTTTCCTTTTGGCACCGTCCTCTTTCCTGCTGCTGCGTGGTGCTCTAGTTGCTCCACCTATGGCAGTGCGAGTTAGCGCTACCTTGATTTAAGCGTTTTCATTAGTATCTTGCTGGGTGTACTCAGGATTTCATCAGCCTCATTTCCGTGCAGAAGGTAAATATTCTGTAATTTTTCCTGTGATTGTTTTCTTTGCAGAGAAAACTGGAGTTGGCTTCTAGCACTGCAAAACTGGAACCTGCTGTGAAGCTAATGCGGGATGCCATCAGCAGGCTCATGCACCTCGTTCAAAGAGCTGGCTCAAAGGGGGCAGCGACCATGGAGCTAGCAGCAAGAGACTTCTCCTACTCCCTAGCAAGGATCTATGCAGGTAGTGGGAAAAGCCAGATTTCAGACCGGGAAAGGATTTGTAATTAGTCCTAGAGTGTCCTGGTTTCACATGTTCTGGGGTGAACAACAGCTTCAAAGAAAGCTCAGTCCCCGCTTGTAAACTGAAGCTCAGCCTGACAAACACTGTTGAGAAGTAACAACCACCCACTTTTCACTCCCCTTTGCTGTTTTGGCTGGAGTCTGCAAATACTTATGTCTTACATTCTTTCACAGGAGGTCTTTTAATTGAACATGCAGCTCGGCCTGATTCCTCCTCCACAGATGTCTCCGCTGCTCAAAGGTAAGCGGAAATCTCCTCTAGCCCTAACCATTCTAGACAATTCCTTGTGCGATGCAGCAGGCCTTTTTGCTGTGCCTCGCTGAGGGATGTGAGCGTCTGCCAGGGTGAGACCCAAGCTTCAGTATCAGCTTTGATGGAGACAAACAGCATTCTGAGTTGGTTGCTAGCAACATCGTTACTTTTCCTCGCCATGGGGAATCTTTGTTCTGGCAGCAATGAGAAAGATCCAAACTGGAGAGAACTCAAGTTGAAACCGGCAGCATTATGGGACTTGGACAAATTGTTTGCATTCTCTGTTCAGGTGGTGCAACCAAGAACTGTGTCCTGTAGCCACAGAATTAAAAAACAGAGGCTATGATGCTGAGGAAGCTTTCATGGACAGCTGTCTGGTGTATGACGGGAGCCCTGTCTCACGTAGCAAGCTGTGATTCAGCAGAGGTAACTGGGAAAATCCATTCAAGCCTTTGCAAATGGAAAGCGTAGGTTATTGTGTTGCATTCAGTGCAAGCCTTAATGACTGTGGTGAAGCAATGATTTAGGATTATGTTGAATAAAGAGAGAGAATTTCCTCTTCAGGGCAGCAGTGGCTGTGTCTACAAGAGTGTTTTGGTCCAGAGCAGTAGCGTGGCCTTGAAATGAACCCCCTTAGTCCCCAGTTGCCATACATTGGTTCAGTTTGCAGAGTGGTTTTGCTGCATGCAAATTATATTGCTTTTGGAGGAAACAAAACTGACAGCTCTGCTATGGCTATGCACCAAGCACACTCCAACCCCTAATGGGAACAGGTTACAATCCAAAAATTGACACTTCAGGACAGCTTCGAATTACATATATGATGGGGTCAGACCAAATCATTCTGAAGTAAACCACCAACTACATCAACTGCTTCAGTCTGAAATCCACGGCTTTTCAACTGCATTATTTGCTAATGCAGACATAGCCACCGAGATTCAGTCTGAGACATTGAAATGTTCTTACCAAGTTTTAGGCAAAGCCTGAGTGATCAAATGCAGAGAAGGACTTGAAGAAGCAGTTCTTCAAGTGCTAACTGGTGTTGCGTTTAAAGAAAAGCAACCAAAATCAAGCTGAAAATTATCTGAAGCTGTTTAAATACAGCTGTTTAAATAATTTTGTCATGTTCACCTTCTTGCTTTCCAGTGCTTCTCCTACATGCTCTTTCACCCCGGCAGCTGCCAGGGCAGCCTTTACTAACCCCTGTGGCTGTGAGAATTTGGTCACAAGCTGGGCAGTTGGTACATGCCATTTATACAGGCGACTTCTATGGGAACTGTTGCACTTGTTTCAGGAGCCCTCAACTCAGTGACTGATCTTGGCAACTTGCTGGCTAAAACAGAAGCTTTGTAACCAAAACTTTCCATTTTCTTAATCTTACCTAGCTAAGGCTATTCTTAAGCAAGCTAATCATTGGGCACTGTTTAGTCTAGCTGTGCTTTTGATTTTTTCCTTGTCCCAAACCAACTTTGCTATGCTTTAAAATAAGCTGAAGTGGAGGCTTTACCTTGTAATGCCCACTGTTAGGTGCCTCCCCACTGGTGAAGCTGCTGACTCAGCTCCGTAGTCAGCTGAGGTGGGTAACAAAACCATCCTACTGCACTTAAGAGACAGGATACAACAATTTGGTATTTACATCTTCATAAATGGGAGATGGCATCAACATCAGCTCTGCTGTACGGAGGTGCTCTGGAAAAGTTTGGGGGAGGAAGTAATTTCAATTACATCACACGAATTACATCAAAACTACACGTTGGTACTGTAATTAATGGAAAATAACTTTTGCCCCCTAGATAGCTTATTAATTTTCTATTTGTGTAGCCTAATGGTACAGCAATTCCTAATGACATAAATTCTACTAACATCAGTTTTAGATTGAAATCCAGTAATCCTCCATCAAAGCAAACACCTAGATATTGATTGCGTGCCTCTCTCCACACTCAGCACTTCAGTCTACCTGCTTGATGTTATCCAGATGAGAAAAAGTTTAATTAGAAAGTTGCTAATAACAGAAGGAAAACAATTTGGAATGGAATATATAACTGCAGAGGGCTATCAACAACTAGGATAAAGAAGGGGAAGAGACAAGAAAGACGAGAAAGAAGCCGTTTTTCTGAACACAAGTTAGCCAACGTTTTGCTGAGGCGAAAGCGCAGGGCTCCAAGAGGACCCAGCTGACCAAGAACACTGTCTCCGAGGAGGAGCATGAGCAAAAAGCAGCGCCTGGAGAGCCCTGTGTAGGAGCAGCAAGCGAATGCTTTGTGGGCTCTGTCTGTCCCAGCTCAGGGGTTACAGTGCCTGAGCCAGGTGGAGCTTCCCCGCAAATTGCACAAAGAATACAGCTTTAGCGCGACCCAGCATTAACAGGCTTTTCATTGCCGCATTTCTCTGCGTTTGCTCTATGTGCTTTTGGGTGAATAAATAATATTGGCTTTTGAAAATGTGCTTATGTCACTTACTTCTTATGATGTAGTTGGTTGCTGTCAAAGAAAAAGGGCTTCTAGGTGTCAAAACACAGGAACCCCTCATGCTGTTAAAAATTAGTAAAGGTGGGGGAAAAGGAACAGGGAAGTTGCAGTTCACAAACCAGGCTAAGAACAAGAAAGTGAGAACCACGTGGCTCTAACCTAGGTGATGAAGTTAGCAAAATCCATCACCAGAGCTGTATGTGGGAAGGGCAGAAGGGTCTAACAACGTGCGATGAATACAACAGAAAATGGAAGTCATCCGTTTTTTAACCAGCATCTGAAATTGTTTGCAGAACTGGCCACGGACCAGCTGGGTCCTCCAATCTTGCTAGGTATTGGGCTTTGGCAAGAGTGATGCCGTCCAGGCTCGCTGTCAGTTTGGGCTTTCACAGCACCTCTTGCTGTAAGTTTTAGACACACCTTTTTTTTTTTTTTTTAAACACTGGAATTACTTTTTCCTAATATACAAGCTATGATTTGCCTAAAAATAAACCCCACAAACTGGGAGGCCTGCAAATGAACCGAAACACAAAACACAAGGGACTGTAAAATGGTCACTGTGTAGGAAAATGACAAATTTATTAAGATCTAAAGATTCACTCTGAGGCTACAGCAGAATAAATGCTGTTACAAACAAAGAAGCACTAGGGTCTAACAGTTTATACTGCTGCTAAACAGCTCTCTGCTCTCATAGGTTTGCATGTTTTAAAACATTTAATGTTCTTGAAGTAATTAATCAAGACTTCAGATGTCATTTTAATACAAATTCCACCAAAAAAATGTACAATCAAATGCATCACTGGTTGCCACTGCAAGATAAAAATCATTTAATAACATAACTATGGGAAATCGTTTTAAAAAACATATTTGTTAAATAGTAAGATAAAACTTTAGCAGCATTTAAAAAATTTGAAAGTCCAAAGAGTATGGTAATCTTAAATCGCGAAATGCAACACTCCGAGCTCCAATGCCTGTATTACGAGTGTAAAATGAAAGGATGGAAGTTTATTATTCCTCTGCCCAGGAAACGGGATGTCGCTTTAGTATATGGACAGTAAGACAGACAATGATTGTACAGACGTGGCTGTATTCAAATCTTACACTTCTGCTTCTATTCCCTTGCTCTCATGCTGGTGGATTCCCACTTCGACAAAGAACTGAGTTGAATTGTTAAAAAAGTGCAAACCAGAAATTTCATGCTCCCTGGGCTAGATTTTGGCTGTCTCGTCAGACCTGATGTGCTCCTTCAGCGGTATGTTTGTCTGCAAAGGTACTGAACGCCCCACAGGAGACTCACCAGACTGTCCTCTAAAGAAAAAAAAACCCAACCAGGAGCAAACATAATTCCTAGCAGCACAGCTATAAATACACCGTTCTGCGAGCGCTGTATGAACAAAAGCTGCGTTCACTCACATTCCTCACTAGACTCAAAAAAGAGCCTAAATTGCTGCTTTTCCTTTTTACTCAGAAAAGTAATCGCTAAACAGTTTCTGAGTGATGCCAAGCCATGGAGTCTAACTGAGGAATCTAACTCTAAAGGCTACACAAACCCTGATCTGGATCCTGCACGTGAACACACGTTGCAGAACCGGCCTTCATTTAGCAGTGTCGGCATCTGCTTTTCTGCATCTCCCTCCAGGACAGCCTAGAATAACACTGCCTTTTACCTGATTCGGACGCTGGTGAGTTCTCTCAATTGCTCGGACTGATATCCAGGAATAATTCAAGATCTACTAGAGGGGCAAGTATAGAATAATCATAAAATAGCTGTACGCCCCTTTTCAATTAAATGACCTCTCTATCAGCTCAGCTTTTTTTGCACACAGTTGTTGCCCTTTGCAGCCTCATAACATACTTCAGAACAGTAGTTCAAAATCTCTCCCAGCTTGGACATTACCCCACAGGGACAGTCTTTCCTGCTCAGCAAAGTGGTTCTTGACACCTTCTTCCCCTTCACCACCAGATAAAGAACCTTGTTTTTTTTCCATCGTACATACTGCCACCACCATACCTCACCTAAGCGTAAGCGCTGATCAACTAATTGGTGTCCAGCCCTACAACGATGCTTGCCTCTTAACGATTCCTGTTCCAATATACGGCGGCAATGGGCCATTTCCACCAGCAAGGAGTGGTTGGGGTTGCGTTGTCCTACCTGAGGACAAGAGGGGCTTTCGGTTCTCAAAGATTGTCTTTTTCCCTCAGCCACTAATAATGTTTCTGAGACTCTCGATAAGCTGTACAAATTGCCTTTGCACAAGGAGATCAGCTTAAGAAAATCACGGCATGTAAGACAGCACAAAAGCTGCATGTTATGGTAACGCTGTCCTTCTGGACTCACATGCTGTTCAAGAGCAAAGAGAAGAGGAAAGGCTGCTCATTAGGAAAAGCTGATTGCCGGGAAGTGAATTTCTACACAGCGTCAGTCGTGTGCTCCTCTAGCAGAAGTGCTAGACCGTCGGAAGGGTGGATGCTCTTGATTTGAAGACCTGCACAATCACAGCCTTACACTCTGTGGAAATTAAAAGTTCTCGGACTCCTTCCGACAACAGCACGAGAGAATCCTGGGGCTTCGCTCAGTGGTTTCCAGAGAACATCCAAGAATTAAGTGCGAATGTCCAGGGCTGTGAGTAATGGTGTGCACAGAAAGTCTATAGCCACTGCACTACAGAGTAATGAGTTACTGAAAAAGCACTTAGAAGTAACTCAGGTATGAAAGGAGCTATATAAAATCAGATTCTGGTGTATAATTGAAAACCTGCTGTTCCCTTGCATGTTCTTAACAGTGCACAACATCATTATATATGCTTTTTATTTTATTCTTGAAGCTGTAAATACTACTACCAGCTGTGATCACTGCTCTGCCCAAAAACTGCAGTATTATTTGATTAAATAAATACGTTAAGATGATAAAGCAACTGTGCACCACATTTTGTGATTAGAACAGGCCTGTCCTAAAATAACTCAGAGATGCTCAAGGAGCTCTTCAGTCCCCCAGAGAATTCATGACAAATCCTTTCTCTCGACTTAAAATATGTAGGAAAAGAAACGACTGAAAGAGGATGAGCTTAGGTGATGGACGTGCACGCAGCAGGCTGCTGAAACGAGCAAGCAGTCCTAAGAAAATGAGAATAATCGGACCCTTGTGCAGGAGACTTTTGCAGGACAAACAGCAGTTGAGTTTTCCGCCTTCTGGGAAAAGATTAAAAGATATTCAACCTGAGTGAGTTTGGTTTGTTCCCAAAGAGCCATGGCTCCACCATCCAGCATTGAGAATAAGGCAGAAAGTGTGCCAATGAGAACTAAACTCTGATCTTCCCACCACACTGTCGCTGCAATGAATGCCAGTGCTTGCTCACTGCAGCGGATGGGAAACGTAGAGCTTCCTTTCCCAAACTTCACTGAAAGCCGGGGTGAATTCCCTGCTGACCTGGGCCACTTCTGCACTTGGGCTAACATCATTGGATCAAGCTTTGAAATATGATGGTCAGGTAAGGGGAAGAAGAAAAATGAGGTACCAAGGAAGGTTAGATTCTCATACAGCTCTCCAGCCTCAAAGAAAACTGTACTGATTGTACAGGCCAGTACCTGACGGCGCCTGTGGTTTGTGTCTTTTCCTCCTCCCCGGGATTGTTGCACCGGGAAAACCAAGCTTAATATTTTTTCTTCTAAGTTTAGGAGCAACAGTTTGTTGTTCCTTGCAAAGACACACAGTGGAAAAGAAAGCAACAGGAGGACTGCTGCAGCCTCCTTTTTCAAAGGCTTTGCTGTTTCTGCGAAAAATAAAAAATTAGAAAGTGTGTTAGCAAATGCTCCCATGCAAAATTCTAAACTTTATTCACTTTTATTTATATATTTAACAATCCTAAAGTATTTACTTCTTGCTTTGACAAAAATGAAAAATATAGGAGCACTTTACTCTCTTTAGGAGAGAAGGGTTATATATACAGCTATTGAGAGATACTGGTTCCTCCTTTACATACAAAGAAAAATAATATTAATAAAAAAGTGCTTCGTTGATCCAAAAAAGACTAAGAGCTGCAAGCGTTTATTCACACTGTACATCACAGACCCAAAAAACCCGTATCATACCCTCTTGGCACCTGTCATTAGGAACTGCAGAATCTTAGACTTATTTTTGACTGTCTATTTGCACCACAAAACCACACAATGTTAGTGTGTAGAACTATACCATGTCCCCTAAAATCAATCTTCTAATCACCCACCTCAGTGGAAAAGCCAGAGAGACAGGAGCTGCATATCATCCTTTTCCTGTTCCACCTTCCTCTGTTTTACCTGAAACAGTAATGCCTAAACTTCTATTCCAGATATTTACTGCACTTGTTTTAGGAAGAAATACTTACAGCTACAACTCCGACCGCAGACCCTGTCTTTTTCTTTGCTTTTCCCTCCTGATGATTTGAAAACATTTCAAAACATGTACCAGGGAAGATCCCAAGATGCTTCATTACCAGATCCCCTTCCCATAAGGACACAGGCCGCTATGCTAAACCAGCCTCCTGGACATTCATGTTTGTCTTGTAAATCTTCAGCTTACACTGCAGCAGTGTAATGATCCTCCCAAAGGGTGTGGGAAGTTTAAACATCAAAAATAAATTACCCGGACACTTCTTTCCCCATCCGATCGAACAAATATTCTAAGATGGCTTTCTCTGTATGATACACACCTTGGATTATATAATCCTGACGTTCCACTGAAGGGAAGCACTCCTTTCCCAATACTTGTTAGATTTTTTTTTGAGCTCTTGTATTTGAAACTTTCGAATACTCCAGCGGGATTCTTTGATCTTGAGAATATCACAAGAGAAGTCGTAACTTTGTCTCGGCAATAAATTGTGAAGCAGGGTGTTATCATACACGTTTCTTCCTTGTCAGATTGCACGAAACAAGCTCTACCACAAGGAAAAGGGGATGAGTACCTAACGCTCTCATTTAGAAACATATATTCAAGACGGTTAACACTTTAATGAAGCGACTTTATAAGCTGACTCAGACGGGGACAGAAGGAAGAAGAGGAATCCATGATGATCTTTTTTTAGGTCTCTAATCCTCAGGCAGGATTTTCCTATCTGGAGTATACTGAATATAGACTGAAAAAGGAGGAAACATCCCAGGAGTACTGCAAACGTCAGTGCACTTCTCAGGGACTGAGCCTAGTTAAAATACCAGCACAGCACAGTTGTTCTTTAGTTGCTTTGGATAGTCTCATTAAAGTGCGAGTCTAATCAATAGTACGACAATCTGTATGAACCACGACAAGCGCACCGCTCCAAAAGTAGCTCTGCATTCTGAGTAAACCATCCGACAGATGGGGCAAGGATAGCAGTCTAAGGTCGTCTACTTTCCCACTTGTTTTTAAATAATGAATTGCATTTACAGAGCTTCAGAAAGAGGCGCCAGTGTAAAACCAATCTCAGCTCGGCAGCCTGTTCAATCCCCTTCTTCTCACCTCTCTCAAACAAACGCGCACTTTCCTTAGCCAAAGTTGTCCAGCTGTTTCCACTGAGAGCCACAGCTAACAGGGCTTATGGCAATAAAACACGTAGATTATATATGTAAATACAGAGCCGCTGAGTATGGAAATCTGTGATTGATTTCCCCTTCACGCAGTGAGGATAACTAAGCCCACTCTCAAGAACAGAGAGAGAGAGTGCTCTCTTGGGAAAGAGTTTCCCATTTCTTCTAGCAGCAACAGGTTCCCAAACAGCAGTTTCTTGTTTGGAAGTAACAGGAGTGATTGAAAGCACTAGCATTGATGCTATAGGTATTCACACTTTGCACACCGGCTCTGGACTGATTCCCCTCTTCTCCTTTCCTCCGTAAAATAGTTTGTCTGCAACACAGTTCAACAGTGGGACCTACAGGGATCTGGTTCTGGTGCCAGCTCCCTTCCCACTTCACAATCTTCCAGCAAACAAACATACATATATATATTATTATATATATACACACACGCGCGCGCCACGCACACATCCACCCACACGCACACATGCACGCATGCACACAAACAGGACAGAAAGGAGAGGGGGAATAGCTGGAAACAGAGAATTCCACAATCCAGTGGTTCATCCTAGATTTCTGTCCCGCCGAGCAGTGTTCCATGCCCCAAACTCCAAAGTGCACGGCTTCTTCAGTCCTCCCAGTCTCCTCCCACCAAGACTGTGCGTGTCTGTCTGGGGAAGAGTCAACACGGCTGTTCCCCTGTTTCTTCTAGGCTGGAGCTTTAGTTTGATGTGGCAGTGATGGGTTTATCCAGTTCAAGATCAAGGCTGGAACTACTCGGGTGCAAGCTGCTGTAGCACAATTTGCAGACTCTGCTGGGTTCAAAGAGCTGTTGACTAGGAACTGGCACCTTCTGGTTACAGCAACTGGAGCAAAACACATTTCCACAATTCCTTCGATCAGGAACAGAGGAGAAATGAAAAAAAAAAAATTAGCAGCAGTTTGATGATGTTACTCAACTTCTAAAATTACACTACTCATAGGTGTTGTGAAGGGGTCATCCTGAAGACTGCCGTTATTACTCGCTAAACAACAGACGGCATGCAAAGACAATCTTCCCGCCCCAGTCTGTACCTTGTGTTACTTGCTTCTAAAACTGAGGTAGAGTTATAGGGTATGGACACCAGAAGGGTGTACGAAGCAAACTCCGACACAGAATTACGGTTCATTAAACCTCTCTACAGTGACTGCCCATCTGCACGGGCATTGGCTTGTGTCAAACTGGAGGGAACTTCCCCGTCAGTGAAACAGGGCTAAACCATCTCCCATGTACTATACAGGACCTCAGGCATAGTGCTACTCAGTATTGTCACTGCTGTCTTGTGGGCGTAAGGCTGAAAGAGAGACAGCAGTCAAGGAGTCTTCCTCCGTAAGGAGTGGGTACTCCTGGATGTGGGGAATCGTGTGTTCTGGCCTCTGTTCACATCACTTTTCAAGCTTTGCATTAAAGGCATATTGGAAACTGCAGTCCTGGAAGAAGGTAAAAGTGTTCCTTCACTCTTCTAAAAGTGTGTGTCAGTAAACATCAGCACAGAGACATTTTCTTCTGTTTCTTTCAAGTGAACTGTTGGAAGGTTTAAGCATGGGACAGATGGAAAAAAAAAAACAGTTTTGGTAGGTGCAATCCTTCTGTTGCCCCAACAATACAGTCTCTTTTGCAGTGTTTCCAGCAGTCCCACACTTCTGCATAGAGTAAACAGAGCGTCAACAAGGATCATGCAAAGCCATGAGATGGGCAGCCAGGTATTTCATGCTTAGAAACGGCAATAATGCTGCGGCAGGGTGAGCAGTCTCATATGCATTCTTGTCAGATGTCAGTTGGTGGAGGCACGCTGGCACATGCACCTCACAGGAGCCAAGGATAAGATTTAAATCTTGAAAATAATTATGTTCTCTTCTTGCAGCCCCCCTCAAAACCTGCTGCTGATCAAGCTAGTCTGATGAACACTGCAGTGCCCTGTCCTCCAAAACTCATCAATTTTTATGAAGAGTTCAGAACAGCACTTCAGGGACCTGAATTTTTCAAGTTTACCTCCATGCCTGATGCCCTTTTCATTAACTCTTTGGCATCAGGATTTTGCACCATTATCATTTTATGCTGGAAAAGCTTTGCTACTGCCAAGAGACTGACAGACACAAAATGCTGCCTACATCCAGCAGCTCTGATTAATCCTTCATTGCCAAGAGACAAGATTTCCAGATGCTGGTCACTGATGGAGAGAGAGTCAGCAAAGAGAAATCCCATTTCTCACTTCAGTGGGCTAATTTTCTCAGGTCTGCATAGCAACTCCTAGTTTCAAAGCTACAGCCCTAGCACTAGGAGATTCACAACGGCTAGCCTTTTTGCAGTGGTTTTGAAGTCTTCTTAAGGACTCTGTTAGAAATTGCTATCAGAAAAAACAGCAGGAGTGAAAACAGTTCAATGAGGTGTTATATAGAAAAGCCCTGCAGAAAAGCAGTTCAGTCATCCCACATCTCTGCTGCTGAAAGAATGATCATCCAGCAGAAGCTTACTGTTGACAGACGAGGTCAAAAACAACCTGAGAACTTAAAACAAATACTTGCTTGTTGTAGCTCACCAGCTTGCTAACACATGCCTGTTTTCTTTCTTGTTTTATTGCTGTGTGAGAGAGAGCAGTGTTTGATAACTGTTCTCCCACTAGCTTCAGAAAGCTCTGAACAACTCAATTCTTTCTATCCTGGTGGACCTCTGCTTCACTTGGGAAGCTGAAATCCTGACACCAGTACTTCTTACTAAATCACGGATATCTATCCCTCTTTTGTCAGCTTTGCATTACTGCCACAGTATTTTCACTCCTAAAAATCAGTGGTGATTTTTTGTCAATACACTGCACAGCTGTTGTAGAATTGTTGGATAACACGTGAACTTTTCCCACAATTAAGGCAAAAAGGGAAAATAAATGCATCATGGCTAAACTTGAAGGCTAATCTCTTTTTGGTTAGCAGTGAAGCATTCTCTGTTACTCAAATGATTTACTGATAGTGAGCGTTAGTGTTACCCACATCATAGTTCAAGCTACCAAAAGCCAAGGCCTAAATGCCTTTTAGGAGAGGCCTGTTTAGAGCCATTCGAATCTAAACACCCAACAGATTGTGCTATCCACCCACAACTCATTGCTAGTGATTTCTAGGCAAGTGAAAAATAAAGAAGGGGAATAGACCAAGTTAGTTTGGAGAAGTTACCAAGAAAACGCAGACAGACAGCAGACAGAGGCTGTTGTAAATGCTCACCAGATTTGATCAACACGTTCAATGTCCCTGCAAGGAGGGGAGAGAGAGCTCAGAGGGGAACTAGCAAAAGAAGCAAATAGTGGCAATGAAGGAAGCTGGATATTTTTATCCTGCTCAAGGCCTTAAAAGAGTATGTAGTTTTCAACTCATTTTCACTCTCAGATAAGATGGTGAGTAGACTTCCACGAGTCACTAGGCTTTCTGAGAACGTAAACTATAAAAATGTTTGGTTTTCTTGTTGTATAGGACACTATTCCTTATTGGGCTCTATCATAAAAAAAAATCGCAGCTTAATAAGGAGAGCCTGTTGAACCCAGGTTAGACATTTGAAAGACAAAGAAACAAAGACACTTAAGGGAAATTTGCAACAAAACTTGAAACCCTGAAACAATTTTAACTGCTCATGGTGTTGGCGGTGTCCCTGTGCACGAGGGGTTCTCCAGAGCCTGGACCTAGAAAATTTACATATAGATGCTAAATGCCAGCGTAAGGAAGCGGGGAGGCAGGGTGACGATGCTGAATGGGATACACCTCACAATGGATAACTGAATAAACAAACCCACTAGAAAAAGGACAAAGGAAAACATCATCTGAACTCTTACAAAGTCCTTCAGATGTATATTGTATGCTTAATTTTATTTTTCATCTGAAGCCATAAGACATAGTTAAATAAATTTGCACAAAACCCACTGGACATGAAACTTGGAAAAATCAAAACCATTCAACTTTTGTTTATTCTTCCCTGGGTTTGTTTATCTTTACAAGATGACTAAATGGAGCAAAATATAAAACGGACACAAACCAAGAAAGCTCCTTTTATTGCCTACAACTTCAAAAAGCAACAGAGCATCAGAATGGGATAACTGCCATTTGTTTAAATGATAGTCCTTGTAATCATTTTGTCATGTTCAGAATTCAGGAATAGGGTTTTATTTGAAAATGTAACTTCAAAATCAGATTCTCTGTCTTAAACTAGAATATGTTCTCATCAAAAAGCAACTACCGCCTGTCCTTCATTAAGCGCCTGCTACCAGCATTATTTATTGTGGCCTCTGAGAGTGATATATTTTGCAAAGAATAATCCATCAGCTTTTATTTCATGTAGGTGTAGCTCTTTCAGATTCTCTTACAAAAGTAATTTAATGAAAAGGGAAGAATGGTTAGAGAAAGAAAGGAGCAGTTTTTCAACCAATAATAGAAAAAAAGATGCTATTCACATATTTGCAGTATTGAATGCAAAGATGACAAACCAGTATTTTTTATTATTTATACCCACTTTAAAAGCTGTGTCTGTAAACATCAAACTGCCTCCAAATTCACTTTGAGGGGAAAAGACTGGATATGTTTCGGCCAGTGTGGAGCAGATACCAAATATGGCTTTTGAAATATATACTCTGAATGTACTGAAACATAACAGGAGAAACTGTTCTGTTTTCCCAGAGCTCTTGGTTCCTTTATTCGCATCAGGAGCATACATGCTCCCCATGCTCTGAAATTCTTAGTTTGACATCCTTCCTTGACAAAGGAACTACATGTCAAAAGAAAACCCTTTCCTAGTATAAAAGCAGGAGAAGTGACAATTCAAGCCCTGACCTTGCCTCCCTGTTAGCCGATAGCCCCTTCTATCCTCTACTGACACACAGGTTACCTGCAGTGGTGCTTCCTGCTGGCAAGCCAGAACGTACTCTCACAGCCGTAGCAGTGTGCAGCGAGGTGGTCTGGAAGCCATCGTGTCACCTGGGAGAAATAAAAGACAAAGACAAGTTTTATCAAGGAGAGATCACTTAATTTAAAAACAAAACTGTCTCATTTTTGAGCTCACAAAGTCAAAGCAAAGCAGCATGAGGAAAGTGTTTGTTCTGTTTTAAGAGCACAAATTCAGTGTTGCAATGGTGAAAGCAAGAGAACAGAGAAACCTTCCCCTTGAAAACTGATACACTAATTTCCCCTCAGACAAACAGAAACAAAGTCACAAAGCCCAATTCCCTGCTTTCTTTCTGTCTTTCAAAAGTATCCAAGCCAGGAATATTTGCAAAGCGTGTGTCCCTGTAAGGCTCCTTTAGCTATTCATCCCTGCCACAGCTTTCCAAAGAGAGTTCATACACAGACAGTTGATAGCAGAGGGCTCATAGGCACAGGTACTGATATTCAACGTAGGAGAGACAAGCGAATGCAAGGGAGACAGATCACAAGAACTGGCGTATGACCAAAGGATGTAATATAATTTGAATTATGAACGTCCCCTCCTACTGGAAGGAAAGAATGAGAGATTTGCAGGGATTTAGTCTGTACCTCTGTGTCCTGTTTATCCACCTGTTCCCAGCTGGCTTCAGAGAAAATCTCTGTGCTGCAGCGAGACAAGCAGTTCTGATCCAGATTGCTTTCCGAGTCGGGTATAGAAGTCTGTTGGCAAACAAACACAGCTGAACAGAACTATCCCATAGTCCTACTTCCATACAAATAAAAACCGGACAACCGTGAGAGGGAGGGAAAAGGGTATCTCCTGCTAGGAAAGAGCAGCCTATATTTGTCCTGGAAGGGTTTATGTCACAACCACCGGCCTATGTACAGTACACGTGGTGGCAAAGGCAAGAATTGCATTTTGAAAGGAACTACAAATGCCACCACCAGTCAAAGCGGTTTGTGCACTGGCGAACTGCAAGAAAACAGGTCATTTTTTGACCCTCTGATGACAGGATGATATAAGGTGGAATGGATTTAAAATCTATTTTTGCCTGTGTTATCATGAAGTTCTAGCAACATACTGGGTGATTTACAGTGGGAACCTAAAAACTGCTCCCTGTGGCTCCAATTTCAGAGTTTCATTTCCTTTCCAAGGTTGTTTCACTTTCAAAACTAATGCTAGTAACACATACATCCTGTTGTCTGCAAAAGTTCTAGAAAGCTACCAGCCAAAAATACACACGGAAAACTAAGAATCTGAGCCAAATTTTCCATAGGTAGTTTGGGGGGGAATCATGCGTCCTCGATAGAGTCTAGCCACGCAGAACTGTATTTTAACCGACCTAAACAAAACTCAGCTAGCCCTTAAATACGTGAAAAGTTTGAGAATTCTTGCTATGTTTCCTGGTGCCAATCCTGGGAATTGGCACCTTGGGAGTTATGGAAGAAAACCCTGTTACTCCCAAGCTGAGGCAGAAATAGAAGATAAAGATCAGATTCTTAAAAACAGTTAGTGGAATTTTCTGAAGGACACAGTGATCTCACTCCCCGCCCTGCACTACAATCGGTGACGGCCCTTAAAAAATGGAAGTATAATAAATTAAGCCAAAGCACCACATTTCTCCACGGAATTCAAGCTCCTGCAGTGAGAGAAGTCGCAGCGAATTTCAATGATGCTCAGCTGAAACGGACGCCCAAAATGAGCACTTAACAAATGCTAGCGTTGTTACCTCTAACTTGCACAGCCAAGAAGCCCCTGAATCTCTCTCAACAAACGTACCTGCGACTATCCAGCACCTCTGCCACTTCTAAACAAATTAGCAGAAACATAAACAAAAGTTGGAAGCGTATTTTTTTTCAACTTTGCTGGCATATGGAACACATTATAACGTGCAGGTAGGAAAAGGAAATTTTTGTTAAGTATCAGGCAAGCTCAGGGCCTACAGGCCAATGGTCTGTTTGCTGTTCGGACACACAGGCAGATGCAAACTCTGAAGAATTCTCCTAAGGGACTCTTCATGTCCCTTTCCTTCTCCTGTGCCTGCCTGTTTCCTCAAGTAGCTTTCCCTTCTTCTCTTCTTTTACTTAAAAATGTTGAGCCTTTGGAAAAACAAGTTTTGCAGCAATCTACCTAACTGCTTTGTGGTCAAAGGCCTCTGAAGAACAAGAGACTCTTCTTCTTGTTCTCTGAATCAGTGTTACATACAAGCAACAGTGTAAGGCCAGTGACTATATTTCTTTTGAAGTTTGATTATTTATTAGTCGAAAGAAGAGGAGAAATTAGGCAAAGGTAGGTAGGGGAGAGCATTTAAGGCAACTTAAAAATTCATCCAACACAATGAGACATAGAAAACTTGCTAGCTGTTGAGATCTTGTACTTGGAATTACACTTACTTCGTTTTTAAGTTTTAAATTTCTTTTGCAGCCACAACTACACATCATGTAATCATGCTATAGAAAGCATACTGTATTTGAACCATGCCTCAAACTTAATCTCTACTTTGACAACTTTGAACACTTCCAAAGTAGGAAAAGCACAAAGATGGTTTAAAACACTGCTAAAATTCTTACTTTGCAAAAACAAACAGACAAACACAAAAACCCACGTTGACATAGGGCTGTCACAAAAGCTCTTAAGTTACCCCAAGTTAAGTTACTAACAAGCCCTGAGCAGGCCATCTGTCTGCAAAGGGGGTGGCTTGAACTTGACTGTTTGAGCTAACAGAGCAGCCACTGCTATGACTTTCTTTCCCTGAGCGTGCAAAGCACCAAAGGATCAGTCCCATCTTCCTGTCCCTCTAAATGACACGTACACATCTTCAGAAAAATAAGCTTGCCCTTGCATGAATACAACAATGAAACAAGCACTTTTAGACACCCTCATTGGCCTTATTCCACAAGACATCCAAGTATGTGCAAGTTTACGGCAAAACGTGTATCCTAAAATAAACCTTTGCTATATTAATGGTCAAACTGAAATACAGTGAAAATATTAATCATCATTAATTGCCATTTGCCATGTATTCAATCAGCCGTTTGCCATTTTTGGAATAACCTTGAGACTTTTATAAAAGCTGGTATGCCCCAAAAATCACTGCCTGACCAGTGAACTAAGAGCTGACATTATGGTGAGATCTGGAACTTGACTAACTGGCCCATGGTTTTCAGCAGTGGCTCAATTACCCTCTCACTTACCACGTCATCTCCATAATCACCATTGAGACGCAAGGAGCTATTCAGGAACTGGCTCTCCAACCGGCTCTTCAGCTCTTGCACTTGTTTCTTCAAAGTCTCCACTTCTTGCTGATGCCCAGTTTCTATCTGGCGCAGGCGCTGTTGGATAACATCGGTGTAGACAGGCATCCCGTCATCATCCAGGTGACTTCTGGCAGGTTGGTCTGGGCTGCTAGCTGTGTGCTGCTTCCCAAGATGACTAGACATCCATTTTTGGTGCAAGTTCCTCAAGTGAAACTGAGCAGAACTACAGCTAGCTGTAGAGATCTGCCGACTCAGAGAAGCTTTGAGCCTACTGTCCTCTCCGTTCACACAATGGCCATTTGTCGCAGGATATTTCTGGGTAATTCTAAACCCCATAGGCTTCTCTGTCACCTTGTTCTCAGGCTCCAGCTCTCCGTTACACACAATTTCATCTTTACATTCAGCTAAAGGCAAGGCACAAGGGGAAGGCATTGGGATGTGTGTTCTGCTGCTACTAGAAGTCCTATTTACTTTTGTTCCCAGTTTTTGCGGCTCTAGCATGTTTTCCCCCTCTGGCCTATTTTCAATAGTTGGAGAAAGTTCATCAGCACTGTTGTCGATCAAATGAGGTCTATGGCAAAGACCTTTAGGAATCAGCTCTTGCTTTGTTTCATTCTCTGTTAAGGTTTCAGTAGAACTTTCAATGTTAGGTGTTCTTGCCTCGTGTTGGATTGTGAGAGGTAATGGAAGGCTGGCCTGTGGTGTATTATACAGACCCTCTGTTTCTCCTTCAAGCTTGCTAACATCTTCCTCCGCATTCTTTGGAGCATCTCTATTTACAAAACTCTCCAAAGGAGCGGTCTGTAGTCCTTTCACCTGAGGTAACTTCTGGGTAGTGTTAATGAGATCAGTATGCTCGTCCTGTTGTCCTTTAAGCTCAGAAGCACCTAGTGAAACCGGATGTGGATTGGACACTGGATTGTTCATTACAACACCTTTATCCATCTCCATCTTTTCACAGAGGTCACTGGCATACCCATATAGATTTTCAGCTCTGTTCTTATCCAGCGCAATCTCATCCTCTTTAGCTACTGTCTCTAGGCTACCCCTTACGTGCTCCTCCAGACCAACATCATCTTTAGTGGCCTCTTGCAAAATGTTCTCCATCTGTCCCTCTGCCACTCCAGCTGCAACAGAAAGTTCCGCTCCAACTGGAGCCCTGCCTTGTTTGCTCAGGCTGTCTCCGTCAAACGGATCATCCCCTGGGTTACCAAGGCTGCTCAGCTCCAGAGACCTACGGTGCTCTTGCCACTTTTCATTTAAGCTAGGATCACTACTACGTCGATTGGTTGTAGGCACGCTGCTATCACAGGCTGTCGTCAGATTGTCAAATGATCTTGTCTTTGGTAACCTGAAAAGATAAAAATAATCAGAATCCAAAGTTAGGGGATTTTTTAAAATGTTTAGTTACCATGGTTTAAAAAATCCCCAACCCCCCCTCCCCAAATTAGGGCAGTAGCAATCTGCTAACTAGTGGGGTTTTGTAAAGTATTATCTAGGAGCACATTTTGACCATCTGCAGTGCAAAGCTGCTTCAGGACTTTCTTTGTTTGCCATCACGAAAATATGTTCAACCAGACTTCAAACATTCCCAGAATAAATCCCTTTACCACAAAGCACAAATGCTTATACTCTGGTCACACCTCCCGTTTAGTGTGTGCTCAGGATCATCTTACAGAAAAGCCAAGCAAAGAAATAGGTACACAACACAGAAGAAGTCACGTACAGAATAAATTCAAGATAACCAAATGAACGCATATATGCCACAAGAATATAAGGAATCTTACAAGGCTATGCAGTATCCAGAACTTAATTCTGTTTGCTAATCTTTTTTCTGTTTTAATGCATTTGTTACACTAGGACCTCTGAAACTAACAGCTTTCAAGATTGAAACAATGTAAGAACACTTTCTGATAAGTCAGTCCAACAGTCCCTCAAATAAGCCTGTGAAAAATACCTCCCTCCCACAACAAGTATTCTCCTCTTTATATCCCACAATATTCTCTGTTGATCTTACTTTACAGGACTGGATTTCTGGGCTCTAGGCTCACCTGCCCAGAGGCTGATCTTCAGGGCTGGAGCCTGGAACAGGGTATGGGGCACAAGTGTCATCAGCAGGTGTAGAGGGGGAAGAACATGGCAGGTAAACAGCACTCCAGAGCATTAAATTACGCACATGGCACACTGGATACAGCACCTGAGAGAAGAGAACACAAAGAATGTTAAGAAATTTTAACTGCTCCTTCCCATAACGTAAAAAGTTGTTCAAATCCGATTGTGGTATTCTCGGCTTATTATTCAGCTATGCAGCTGGGAGGCCTTGTTGCATCTCTAAATAAGCCATGGCAGTTTTAATCAGTTACACTTGGATATATAATTATCTTTTCTTTCAGAGAAGGAGGCTGAGGCATAACAATGCTGGCTTTCAACTTCTCATGAATGACTTACTGCAATGTGTTCTGTGCGAATCTACACCTTAATAACACTTCTGAGCAATTTAAACTGCTGAAGAATTCAGCGGCCCGTTGTTGCTGCAGAGATTTCCTTGTACTTTGAATTATACCATGCCATATGAGAGCTGAACTAATAACCTCCTTCTGCAGGCTCCAATTCATCAAAGCTAACACAGTCTTTAATGGAAGCACTCGTCTATGAAAAATTAAGCACATGCAGAAATACTTTGCTGAACAGGCAGTTTGGTCTCAAAAAGGATTCCTTGACTATGGAATAAGCTTTCTGTCTCACTTTAAAAACACCTTGGGTCACTCTATCAATTCCACTGTTTTCCCAAACAACCTTCTTGTGGAAAAGCTGAGGATGGGAGAGAAACAGCCAGATGAGCAGAGGGAGGGAGTCTGGGATGCCTACGTCTGATGGATGTCGCTCTTAAAATCACTGTGTTTTTATAATAGATGTGGCTACATCGCAGAGGCACCTTACAAACACCGAAGTAAAACTATGAAGAAATGAATACAAGATAGGAAATTACCCAAACTCCTACATACAGACAAATTATGTAAATTGGCTTAGTGCAGTACAGTGTAGTATTTACTGAGAACAGAAGCCAAGTCACCGAGACTGCATCTATTTGGCAGGATACAGCACGTAAGGGCAGCCCCAAGGACAGAACAGCTAGCTGTCTACACTGCCTGCTTTTAGGAGCACTCTCTAAGCTGGTATTTCCCTGGTATTCTCAGGAGAAACTTAGATGCATCCATAGCTTTAAAAGTTCCCACAGGCTGTATTTATCTGCAATGTGTCTCAGGCTTCCAGCCATCACATCTACCTGACGGCGTCAGGTTGAAAAGCCTTGAAGGGCTCTGATGGTGCTTGCCACAACGACAAATGGGATTTGCGCACAGACTGAGCGTAGGCTGCATGTGTGCTCTCCACAGGAGACAGATAGGGATAGAGGGCCGACGTGAATATAAAATTAATCTTGTTATTTTTATGAAAATGTAAATATAAACTCCTACTAAGCCAGGTTTTAATCTTCATCTAAGGGACAATTAAAACCCACATTTATCATATGCCAAAACATAGCATAGTCCTTAGTTAGGTTTATAGTATCTGGTACCTTTACAAACAAAAAGGGTTTAAATAATTTATAAAAGGCTTTGCTGTCCTAAATATAGTGACATTTGACGACTGACTGTCTGTTCACATAGCATGCTCACCACCACATCATGCCATGCCCATCATATCGGATCTCCATCTGAATGCCTTACATGCTCTTTTATCATATACACATAGAAAAATAACTGTGAGCCCCTTCCCAGAAGCTTCAGTGAGCTATTACTGTGGAAGAGCCAAGCTGAAAATGTGAAAGTATGAAGAGAAGCACAGATATGCTAAATAACCTCAGGACATTTTCTGTTTAGATTTGACATTAATACAGACAAAGTTTCTAGGTTTGTAGGCAATTTTATGACACTTCTCTGACATAGCTCAGTTCTCTAGAAAGGTCTATTTGACAAACACAAAAAATGTTTTGTGTTACAAAGAATAAAGCAAAATATTTAGTTACACAAAATACGTTTCCAGCATAGAGATATTCCTGAGGTTGCACTTGATATTCTGCGAAAGTCAACAGAAAACAATGTTATGTGAATATTTTAGTCTCACAACTTTAGGTTGTGGAGTATATAGCATAGATTAAGCTTGAGCGAGTAAGACATAAGACTCACTAGACTGTTCAATGGTAAATATTGATGAGGAGAGCTGAGGCATTTTCAGAAAACTATAGTCTCTCTACACTGCATTCATGATGACAGCGAAGCAGTATGATTTCCTACTGCTATAGCTTGGGTATTTTCTTAACGCACATGCTTCTGAGAACGTTATACCTGGGAACCCCTAAAGGGACTCTCCCGCTGTGGTGTGGAATAAAGGATACATACAGATTCAGACTGGGAGGAGTAGAGCAGGTTTTTGAAGGCTTTATTTGCTGCCCGCAGCAAAGACCAGACAGAACAGGTCCGTTCCTGCGTGTGTTTTTCTCCTCTCTCTTTCGCATTGTTGCACAGGAATGTACCAAAGAGGCAAGAATAGGTGTGCTGCACCAATTTGACCTGCAGAGACCGATACAAATACCGTTATATGGCAGAAGATACCAGCTTATGTAAGAATTAACATTCAAGCTTAAGAAGCAATGAATCTTTCCTTCACAAGACAATACATCCCTTTTCTAAAGAGTGATACACGAATATACTTAGCACTTTTATATGCCTTCTTAGAAACTTAATTGCAAAAGAATCCAAGCATAATGGAATCATTGAAAACCGTAACTTAAAAAATGAGAAAAAATTAAAATATAAAGGCAGAATATTTGTTCATAATCAAGTATAAAATTCTTGCTGTTCCAAACTCATAGCCCCGGAGGAAAAGAAGGCAAAGAAGAGAATCATGATACCCCTGTTATAAAACGTTAATGCGGCAGCAGAATGGCAAAAAATGGTGGGGAAAAGCATCAATTTCTGTATGTTGGTATAAACGCACACAGCACGCACATCCAATATTGATCATTATTCACTCCATACTGTGGTCCCAGTCTGAGAAAATAGCTTAACATGAACTTAACTGTAAGCGTATGAATAGTCCCAGGGACTTTAACGGGATTATTCAGATGTTTAAAAAAAGACAAGTACTTCAACACTTTAATAAATTAGGGGTTTTGCTCTAAAAAGGCCAGAACACCAAGGGTATGTTCACACATAATTCCTGTAGATTAGCAGACCGCTATGAAGCCAGTGTAAGCTTATGCATGTCATCTAACCGAGCTAAACTATGACTGGACATATATTTGGTTACATGGCTGAGCCAGCAAGTGGTAATTCAAGTCAATTACAATCGTATAAACGTGCTTAAATCCTTTAGCGGATCAGATACTTCATAAAAACTTTTATTTGTCAAATGACTAGTCCTGCAGTTACTGATTGACATTTACCCACACCCCTGCTTTGTGGCCTTGAGAACTGCTTTTGACAGTCCTAGGCAAATTTCTAATAGGACAGCTGTCCACTTCAAGAGAAAAAAACCACAGCTAGTACATCTTACACGTTTTCAGAAAGGAAATGTAAAAATTGAATGGAAAGGTAAGGGGGAGGTTTACTTTCAGAGGAGTTTTCTCAACTTAAGATGCAGGATCAAAGCAGGCGGAAGTTTATACTGGCAGTGATTATGATTTTTTTCACGTTCTGTGGATGTATTATACAGGAGTAATTTCAGTACTTGCTATGAGAGATTATTAAATTCATACAATTTCTTTCTTTCTTTAAAGTTTAAAGGAAGTCCTTAAAGATCCTGCCTCTGTTTTAAGGGCCCACAGACCTCAGGTTCCATGAAGTATACAAGTACTTTTGTCTGCCATATTTGAACAGTCTTCCCATTTCCTGTATCAGAATGCAGCATATCACAGATAGATGGGAAAACGAGAACTCCCTCAGGGCTTCTTAGTATGCTAGTGCTGCGTACTGGTTGAGAAGTATTCTATAAAACAGCAATCTCTCAAGCCGCAACTCACAAGGAATGCTTCGTTAAACTCGAAAGAGCAAGGAAACTGCCTCTGGAGCTGATGGACGCAGTCCAGCCACTGTAAAAACACTGGGCAGCGCTCATTTAGGTCATCCGAATTCTCACCATGGCCACAGCGATCTGCAAACTTGTGGCCAAAATCCAGCCACTCCGTCTCCACTAGCACCTGGAAACCCTGCAGAAATGAAAGCGCAGATGAAAGTTCCTGTTTTTCCTTCGTTTCAACTACAGTTTTCTAAAACAGTCCAAGACTTACGAGAATCACCTCATTATTGTGTCCTCACTCTATCTGATTTCATTTCAGCATTAGCCACGTTACTTATCTGTACTTCTCTAGCTAACACCTCTGCGTTCTGAAATGGAGTGAAATTAGGACAGATCAGAATTCTCAAGCTTACAGGAAAGGGCATAAAGTAGATTATTTAGTCCTCAGTGACAGGCAAGAAAGATCCTGTTACGAGACCTACCTTGGCAAGGCAGGAGCGAGTAGGAACTTCGTTGTGACAAAAACCCTCTGGATTATGGTAACCAAGATTTGGACAGGAGAGGAAATTTTAAAACCTTCCCTTGAAAATCATGGGCAGATCTTTCCATCATAAAAGAAAGCAATTCACCCATGACAGGACATCCCTATTCAGAGAGAGGGCTTGCCTGTGAGTGTACCAAATGTAGCACATTCACAAATTTCATAAAGGTTGGAATTGTGTAATTTGTCCTGCAACCTAAAAGGGCAAAGCAACATTTCAAAACAGTGTCTAGGTTAGCACCTGGAGGTGACATTTAGTCTTACATGACCTAAAACAGCAGGAAGGTCTTGATTCATAGCGGGAAGAAAACTTGTAGAGAAGGCTTGTTAAGCCAATGGCTTTACTTTAGAGCAAAAATAACAGTTTATAGCTGAAAAGTCTGAACTGTCGCAAGGCTGAAAGCTCACATTCCTAAATGTTTGTGATCCTTGTATAGAAAACTACAAAGGCTTTGAGGAGCAGTTTACAGCACAGTGTCCAGGCACACGCTTCTGTACTGGACAACAGACGCATCTTGCAGGTGGGCTGGCAGATGGAATTTAGCCATCACACATCCCACAATGCTGAAAAGTGATGGAAGAAAAATCAGACTGAAAAAAAAACAAGAGAAATATAACTACATGACAGAGGATATTGAAAAAGTAAAACTAGAAAAATATGCACCTTAGAAATCTAGAAAAGAGAAACACTTTGTATCAATGAGTGGCTGAGAAACTGAAATGGTGCTAGAAGCATTTTGTTTTACATACTCGTAAGCTAAATATGGGGAAGCAAATTGAGCGGGCAGTTACAGCAAAAGGGAAAAATATAATCTGCTCTTGAATTACTATATATTTACACCGATATGTAACCGTACCTGCAGATCACCTTTGGTGAACTTCTGCTAGCTTTAATGTTTTTTCTAGTGGAAAAAGCTGAAATCATTTATTCATAGACTTGTTGCAAAAGAACCCAAGCTCAATGACTAGCTCATGCACTAACAGATGGTTTACAAACCTCTGTGGTCCTGTAATACGGATCTAGCAGTAATTTGGCCAGCGCCACTATCTGTGGGGTACGGTCCCAGCCATCTGAACAGTGCACCAAGACTGGTCGCTGGTCTCTGTCCACGGCATGAACTACAAGTAGCGCAGATTTCAGAAGCACAGATAAGTGCTGCAGCCATTTGGTACTTTCCAGAGCTGATAACCAACTAGAGAAAACAAAGGAGGACAGTTTTTTTTCTCTTTGATAATACTTTCCAGTTTTGATCTCTGAATTCATCCAGTCAAAGAACACTCATTAATACTCTCCTAAACTTGAATGTCATTCCGGAAAATATTTTCCATTTACATCTCATTAATGCTTTCCCAAATTTACAAGAAACAAAGCCAGGCAGTCTACCTGAGGAAGGGCCAGTCTGTGGTATGCTTGCTGCAAAGACTTGCAAGCAGTCTAAGTAACATTTCCCCAGACAAGGACATAACACATCACCAGCGTAGACACCACATGTGCTTCTGGGCAACCGCTACTTTCAGCAGCCTCTTCTGCTGTCTCACTTCTTCCAGGCTGAAGATTCAAATTACCCAGCAACATCACTGGCTGATCTTGGGACTCTGCCATTTGCCCATGACAACTCCATGTTGCAAGGAAAGATTGGTGGGACCTGAGGTGCATTTCATATCTCCCATATTTCAACTATTCTTCCTTGGCTTTCCAAGGTATGCAGTAGGTTATCTTAAGGATCTCAGCCATATGAAGAACTTCATGTTCAGTTTAGCAAGGCTGGCCATTCTGGATCTCCTTGAGAAGTACGAAAGATTCTTAGTAACAAATCCAAAACAATAAAGTGGTAGGGGAAACAGGACTGATGCGACTAAATGTCCTCATGAAGATCCAACCTCAGAAGCTCCTTAGATACTGGGCCACTAGAGGCTAATTATCCTGTGGCACTGGAAGCCTAAGTGTCCTGAAAGGACACTACAAATATGTGAAGTTCATGGAACAACACTAGAATTTTTTGAAGGGGAGCCAGATTGTAAAGAGTGACGATCAGGAAGAGCAGGTACGACTAAGTGAAAGCGCTTAGAACCCCACCTGAAAGTAATAACATTCCCAAAACGTATCAAAACTCAGGGCTGAATTATAATCTCATTGTTATCTCATTTTCTAAATTCACTTCAGTGATAATAAGCCAACAACTTCCTTTTGCTCAAATTCTGTGGAAATGAAAAAATACAGCTAGGGATACAGAGGAAAGTTAGTAAGGGAACAAACACTGGATTTCAGTTTACAAACAGCAGTAAGAAACGTAGGAAGATGTAAACAACGGCAAACCCACTGGATATCCACTTACTTTCCTGGATCGGGCATTTGTGTGCAGAGCAAACGCAGGGACTGAAAGCTCTTCCGGATAGAGTGAATGTTTGCCATCCCCATGAACACTA